AATCCTGCAAATCCCACGCGAATAGAAGATTGTCATTTCCTTCACAATTACGTACTCTTCCATGCCGGACATACGTTGCGCGATATAAAGTGAATTTAATCGGTACAAGAATTGCCTCGAAGCATTTTTATTATCTATTGAAGCAGACGGAGAAACGCTGTGATTGATGATGTTTAGCAGGAGCCATTTTATAAAATTTATCTAAAAAGCTGTCACATATAACTGTAGTCAAGTGAGTCCTCGTTTATCACATAACTTTTCTCTAACCCCAATAGTTCTTCCTGTCTGTGCTACGTTTCTGATGAAACTGGAAGATCGATCGAAGAATGAAAACTTTCCGACCTAACTAGCAGCAAAATTTATCTCGTAATTCACGTAAGTTGAGAAAAGCGGATTACACAGAGAAGCACTGTAATATATTTCTACGTTCCATTGCCATGCTTTATTCAGATAAATGTCAATAATCGATGGAAACAATAAGCTATATATTCAAAAGCGTGCATAAATCTTGATGAATCGATAAAACTCTTGCATGAAGTAAATGAAAATAATAAATATGCATATAAATGATAAATTATTTATCTCACACACCCGCAAATACACGCGCGTGGGTGCCTTTGCGTGCCAGGATATTTGATATGCCTCTCTTTTCCTCCTTCTTAGTCCATCGATGGTTGCTTCTTTACGGCTCCTTCACTCGCGATAATATAACGACCGCGTCATATCTTGTGTAGAGCATTCCCGGCGTTAACTTCCGCGCATTTCGGAGCCGTACTTTACCACATCATGACAAAGATATTGCACAACAAAGCACGGTCGTACAAAATTACGATCCGTTCGGTACTTCAAACGCGGGAATTTCCCTTCAACGAAGGGAAATAAAAAAATGCATAACTAATTTTGCATGCATCCGCGGCGGTTATCCTAAACCACTTTTGCACGTTTTCTGCATTTATAACGAAAAGTAGCATGAGTTCGTATTTCGAGACGATTATTCTCGATTATATGTTACATTACAATATTTGAATATGAAAAAGAAAAAGTTAAAATCAAATATTCGCGAAATAACGTACGAGTTTTTGATAGCGGCGGAGTTAAATTAAAATACGTGAAATATTAAGTGGCAATTATAGAGAACTACATCAGTATTTATTATGATTTGAATTTTTGATTTTAACGTGAAATGGAGCGGTTTCCACTATGTTTTGAGTGTCGCCGTGAAAAATGTCGGCAAGATGATAGCACGCAAACAACAGCAAGCATCTTTTTGTAATCTATAGCCGCGTTGTTGATTACAAAAAAAGCAAAAACAAAAACGCTAGCATCACGAACCAACATTGAAATATATAAGGCGTCATAGCGCGCGCGTATATACGTTATAGATTTAAAAAATATACCCAGTATTGAAAGACACAAATACGAAACATTGCGAGCCAACATTTAAAACATAAAATATTTCACGTATGGAAAGAAAATGTGTATTCTGTTCCTTGTGTTTCGAATTTTAAAACCGACAAACGTATTACTATCGTACTTTTTGTGCTCTCATTAGCGTCGTTTAAGATAAAAATTAATTCCACTCGATTACATTTTAATCTTATTATCTTAAACAACGTCGAGTTTATAAAAATGTGAAAATTGAAATTTGAAACGCAAGGAGCAGAATGTAAATTTTCTTATAATACGTTGAACACTCTATGATGCCTTACATGTATGTATTTCGATGCTAGCTAACAGCACTTCGAATTTGTTACCTAAGGCGCTTTATGTTTTTGTGACTTGTAACGCGGCGTAAGTGCGTTCTTGTCAGCATGTTATCACTTTGCTATCATATGCAACACTCGAGCGGATCGGGCACAGCGCTCCATATTGCTTGAAAATCGTAAATCCAAGTCGCAATTGCAATAGTATTTATATTAATATTATTTCTTTACAAGTAATTGAGATACATAATTAATATTTCGCGTTATTAATCAATTTAGTTGCCATTTTAACTTGTGCATGCATTTATGTTCAAACATTATAATACAAGATAGTGATTGTCTGAAACGTGTACTATTTTACGTTTCTAAAAAGCGTGGAAAACGTATAAAAGTAGTTTAGATGTACCACAACTGCAGCGGGTGGCGCGTGAAATTAATTGCGCAATTTTTGATTTCCTTTGTTGTCGTTGTCTGTTTGATTAATATCTTTATCACGATGTGATAAAGTACTGCTCCGAAATGCGCGAAAATTAATATCAAAAATACAAGATATTGTGCAATTATCGTGTCACTGCGAGTGAAGGAGCAATGAAAAAGCAGCCATTTGTAAAGCTTGAGAAGAGAAGGAGATTCAGACGAGCATCAATAGAGTAACGTTATGATAACTAATTTATCATTTATTAATTTTTTTCAAAAGTTTTCGTCACTCATACGTAGATAAATCGCTCCACAACAGAAACCTTTTTGTCATATTTATTTTTTGGTTTGAAAATGACAAAAAGTGATAGATAATGCCAGAAAATATTTCGATTAAAATATTATTTATGATGTTGCTAAAGAAAATTGCCTCAAAACGATGGAAACTTTTATATACATTCCTAACATTATTTGTTACTTTTATAATGTATTAGTTGCTTATCTCTACAATGATCACGTGGCATTTCACATCTCGAGATTCGAATTATTCGATCACCTAAAATTTTTCGCGCGCTATAATAAACCATTTTTACCATTTTTAAAATAAACGAGTCGTGTTTCTCGCTCGACGGTATCGACGGTATCTTGAATGACAAAATTTTATAAAACTTGTTCCCGGCCTTTGCAAAATAGAATAAATAATCCTCGGGTGCATGTCACACTGGTTCATTGACAAAGAGATTTTGGCGCATTGTTCGGATCGGAAAATGAAGCATGTTTAATTCGCATCTAAAAACTGACTGCAGTCGCGAATAAAATAATTCGTTCTTCATCAATTTCACGCCTGCAGCGTGTAAAATGTTAAAAAAAAAAAAACGTAAAATGTAGAAAATAATTGACAATATAAAATTTCATTTTAGATTTATTCTATATTTAAATCGTTCAATTGCAATATCTACCGACGCTCTGCGAAAATTCCCTTTCGCGTGACGTAATCGCGAAAACGATATATTAAACGCAATAAAGTACATCACCGTAATACCGGAGGGATACGTAGGACGTTTTGACCTCAATTTCCAAAAAAGTCAAGGGTTCAAAGATCGTGGCATCAATCATTGTCTATAAGCACTGTATCTTTTTGTCAATATTATCGAATAGCTTAATTCGTTTCGACTTGTCCGAAAATCATTGGTCTAAAATTACACACACAATTTTCGCTACACGCTGTCTAGAAAATGTGTAAAACTATTAAGATAATCGGTGCAAATTGAATAAATCTATGTATGATATATTATATATATAAAAAAAAACTCGTATAACTAACGTGAAAGCTAATATTAGAAATTCTTCAAACAGTAAATAGGATTTAAAGTGAAGATGGACAAAGCACTTCCAGCCAATATCTTTTCGCAGAAAACATCTTTCCCTTTGTTTATGCGTCGCGTCTCATGATGAAAGAGGCTTTTCTTATTTTCTTGTGTCAACAGTCAGCGTTTCGATATGCTATCGATAAGAACGATCCGCTTGTGCTTTTTTATAACGCTTTCTCCAGAACATGATATGAAAAATATTTCCAGCACGAAAAATCAAATTATTTACTTTCATTAAACGTTTATCCGTCGCAATGGCTGTTTGATCAATAAGTTAATGCTGTGTAAATATGCGTAATAACAAGACAACAGTCTGACGTTAATCTTGTTTATTGCTATTAATGTTACGTATACCGCAAATAGGGTATTTCGTCCACAATTTGTAATTTCCAAGTAAATGCAGATTGTGTCTAATTTTAGTCCGGTTATGTGTTTTAATGTAAAGGCAGCTCTCGCTTTGAGCATCAGAGCTTGTTACGTGTTGCCTAATCAATCCACTTTGATCCGGCGAGAGATCGATGAATCGCAACGGATCCTGTAATGGATTTAACCTTTTCAGCGTAGAAACGAGCTTTACAGCGGGTCCGACTTTATTGCGAAAAATTTACTTAGCTTAATACTCTAAAGATGTATAAATTACATCAGCGGCGGTAATAAGCTCACGCGACACTCTTCCGCTTATTAAGATTCACTCGGACAGATGAATCTTCGTAGCACCGCGTCGAATTTGCGCGGAGATCGGAGATGCGCAGCAATTTGCTTCCGAACAACTGGCGAGTAACACAGTTTCGCCAATAAATATTTTTTTTTTCGACAATAGCGACAGTTTTATTTTTATTGGTATATTTACGCCCGAACGAGTCTATTTAATGAAAGGGTCGTGTTTGTTTATTACGGGTTGCGATTGTAACTTCACTAAATCCCTCAATACGGCGAAATTCGAAGAATCGGCACGTCGTTGCCTAATCGAATTAAGCGTGTGTGCGGCGAAGCGCGTTAATGCCGGCAAATAGATGGTTTACTAGAGTAATAGCAGCGGCTGCGCGGCAATAGCGGCTCGCAACGGCTCCAAATAATTTCCATTTAATCGGGAGATGCTCAGCGATCGAGATGCAGGACCGATAATCGATTCGCGCCATGCCCGTAAGATTCGAGCGCAGCGACGCGACGCATATGCGTTGTTATGATTGATTATGTTCAGTGCGTTTGATACGGAGGCGATAGACGGGGCCGAAAGGGGAGGGGATTGGCTTGCAATGGCGTGCATGCTTAGATCGAGTGCTCACCTCGTCACTTTAGATCGATAATTAGCAAAAATATTTGGTTCACACGCACGCGTCGCTTGTGTATTCCGAGTCGAGAGCGAAAATATCTTTTGCGTTTGTCCAACATTTTTGTTTTATTATCATCCGAATTTAGGACTGGCAATAATCGAGAAATACTTTCCACAAATTATATACGCAAACCACAGTATGAGAGTGTTAATTACATCCTTCGGTAACGTTCGCAGGTGTTGGGAGGATTGGGACGCAGGATGTCGAGCGGCGACAAGGCTTCACCAGGCCTGACCATCGATCGCGCCGCTTTTCTGCTTCTGAGAGTGAAGAAGGCCTTCAAGAAAAAGAAGCAGCAGCGAAAGGAGAAAAGGTGAGTGCTCGACCCGTTAATTTAGCCGGCCGACACAGCTCTCTCGCGGTGAACGTTGCGGAGTAAAAGAGCGAAGGAAACAAATGCGTCAGAAAAATTGCTTTCGAGCACGCTGAACGCGTGGCGCCGGAAACTATTTCACTCAACGGGACGATTCATGACGGTAAGCAACGGTGAAGAATTGGTTAAAGCGACAGAAAGCGTTGCCTTCAACGTCGCGCAACACTTCTGCTCGTTAGTCCTCCTGAAAATTAACCTAAATTACATTGCCTTTATGTCAAAGCATCTTTAAGCCCCGTCAATGATTGCACGATGCAATCTCTAACGCAAAATCGAAATCGCATTATGCATAATCTGTTGCCCCGAAGCGTCGGCTGGAATCTGTTAACTTTACGCCGGGGAAAAGGGGTTGATACTGATGACGCTGCAATCAATTTAGGATCAATTTGTCGAAAGGAACGAAAACATATCGTTCGCTAATGGAATGCCGCTTCACGAAGAAAAGGCTGTATGTGTATCCCCGAGGACGGTCCACGCTACAAAATGGCCGCGCGATCTCTGCGCAGAACGTCCTGTATATAGATATATACTCCTCCGATGCTTTTCTATATAAACTAACTAAACTTTACTCGCGCCCGAGATCGGTAAACAACTTTTCCCGCTATTCGACGCAATTTATTCCGATAACAAATCGGTTCGGCTCTCGGGTTTATCGAATATTGCGCCGCAGCTGCCATTAATCCTTGCACTCCGACGCATCGCTCAGTCATTGAATCATAAAACCGGGAAATGATCCATCAAGTGCGCAAGGAAACGACGAGGAGGACTTTATTTCGTCTGCGACGTTAATATTCTATGGCAGCTCATTTTGAATATTCATAAAGCAGTTACTCAAATATAGTGCACGCGTTAAGATCCAAGCGTCCCACATCTCCCGCTTAATTCGACGGTCATTCTCTGGCTACCTTTAATTAAACAAGTCCTAAAATTTTTTATGCATTCCATTCGTGAAATCTCGACGTACTCGTAAATGATTCCAAGCATCGACGCGGCAGATATTAGAGGAGAGCTTCGATAATTCGCTCCCGTTCATCGAATTATTTCACAAATCGCGAAAGAGGACAAATTTAGCTTTAGCAATTTGCGAATTTGGCTGGCGACTTCCTCGCTAGTTTGAGCTTTTAAACCTAATTAATGAGGGCGACCGTCGAATAATTAATTTTAGTCCGGAATACTCGATGCGGCTTCCTAGAATTACATAATTCGTCGATATTTGCCGCTAGCGAGCACATCGTAACTCCCTGATAACGATTAAGATACGTGCGAATTGCAGCAGCGGCCATTCAAGCGTATCACCCATCGAGAAAGATATGCAGTCATATATTCTCGACGTGTGTCGCGACTATAAGTGTTTCGACATAAAATATGCAAATACAATCGACATTATATCTCGTTATATACCGTTCGCAAATAATAAGTCAAACCTAATTAGCAGTAAGTATAATCTCGTAACGGTAGTTAGTAGTTTTTAACTGGATTTTCGACTGCTCGAAACTCACACACGAGCAAAAGTTTTTTGGCACTCACGTTTTTATCACCGTACTCTCGTTCACCTCGTTCCGACATTAAAGGATTTCCTCGAATTTCTAGGATCGCTTTACCTCGTAAAAAACGGATTCTACAAAGTCGAGCAAAAATCTTGTCGATAAAAAACAGAATATTAAAGTATATCGCATCACAGCTGCGAGATTACAAAACCTGATAATTTTTCCTATTTACTATCGCTATCGATTTATTTTTATCGCACTATTACCGTGTTGCATTTGCGAACAAATTTCGTCGTGCAATTTGTGCAAAGCGCTCGGTGAGCGCAAAATCTTTCGCTAACAATCATGGCGATTAAATCGTTGCAAAATTCATGACACTACATTCGTCGCGATTATCCTACATATTCGGATTATTCGAAGATCCGAATTCCCTGCCGTATAATCTTTACATATGTACGCACATTTGTAACGTCGGAAAATAACGGAAAGAAAAATGCGGGAAAAGATGGAGGAACGCGATGAAGATCGTAAAGAACGAACAGCCACCCTTCGGCGCTTGTTCCGGCTCCACATTTTTCTCACGGAAATCGTATAAGTGCAGGCGTGGGTGCAGGTGGATCGAGGGTAATATAGTATCGTGCTATATATAGCAATCTCGCAAGCTCAAACGTCCGCGTGGAAACGTAAATGAGCGGTGTGCAGACGCTGGGCGGAGAAAAATCAACGGTCAAAAATACAATCGAGCCCTTCTTATTTTTATTCAACCGGAATCGTGCGAGCGGCGTAAAATCAACACGCCCCTTAAAGTGGATATTACACTTCCAGCGCGAAGTCTTTGCACTTCATCGATAATAATACGCCCACGTCTCGTCTTGCGGAGTTAAATCACTCGTGATTATCCTAGCTTGACGTGAATAGATCATTCTGAATTTGCGGACTTGGGTAAATCGTATTATCTTCGCTTCCACATGCCGGCAGTGCCCGCGCAATTATGAGTGCCTGGAGGTTGCCGTGAGTAATTTAACCAATTAAAGTATAAAGGAGCAGAAAAGGCAGAGTTGTTCGTGCGAAAATATGCATTGAAATGCGATGAACAAACGTTTCAGCCTGTCGGCTTTCTTCGGCGCCAACAATAATGTTCAAAAATGCACGAAATTTTTTGCAAAATACACAAACGCACGCGATTTCACAACGTACAATACTTTGCGTTTATATATTTTACCGATTGATGATTATTCGAAGAAGTAAGCAATCACGCGGAGATCGTCCGTCGCGGTACATTAAGTGCATTTCGCGCAACACTGCTCAACTTTCGCCTCGTTGCGCATACATCAAGAGTTCCGTTTTCCGCTCCAATCTGAGCCTTTGTTACCTAACGCTACTTAACAAAACCTCTTTGCATTTTCGCTCATTGTGAAGGAAATGAGAGATGCATTCGTGCAAATAGCTGCGGTATCACGTGTACCACGCTGTAGAAAATAGGATTATTTTTGTTTGCCGTTATCGCTCGATGCGTTTCAGAAGCCGCGTCGTACGCATTGCGATAACAAGTTCAAAAATTAACGTCATGTAGCTCTAATTATAAGAATATTCCCGACCGTAAAGAGGCGCACTTGTACGGCTTTAAAAGTGCGCTGTCTGCGAGGGTGAAATTCCGTTAAAAAAATTCCATCGGTGTGTAACGTTACCGGTGGACGTTTGCAAACTTTTCGCTTGCCTATATTTCAAGATTAATGGCTACATTTTAGCTTTGACTCGACGTAACCCACTCTTCGCTCCATCGCACCCATCGTTTTATTCTCTAATGGATACTTGCCGCGAAACGAAGACTAGGTCAGACATAAAATGTCGGAAGAAATAAAAAACAGAAAATTCTGCAATGTGCCGCGTTGATTTTTATTAATCAAAGAGCTCTCTGCTCCCCCCCAAACATCTCATTTTCAAATGCGCACACGAGTGAAGCGTCGGAAGTTGCAGCGATCGATATTTTCGTTTCTGCATCGATCTGAGAATCTAAAGTATATACTTGTGTGAATGTAACACGTATTGCCCTCACTTGGCTCTCTGACGATACTGCTAACTTTCATCGACATCAAAACTTGTAACGCCCTTAATCTCCATTTTCCAATAATACAAGTGTGTTCTTTGCAATAGATCCTACATGCGTGATAAAGCGCGGCGGAAAATTATATTCCGTCTCGAATATCCTCTTATTGATCTCCGCGTAGTATCGCTGACTCACTGCAATCGCTCGCAGCAGCTGAGTAACTTTTTACGATCACTGGATTTCACGTCTCGAAAAAAAAAAGAAGAAAGGTTAACGGCGCGATGTACTTGTTTTTTCTTTTTTTTTTTCACCCGACGCCTCTCGTACATTATTCCGCACGCTCTGAATACTCACAGTATTTTCCCTCCGTTTCTCTTAAAAATTCGATATTAATGATAGCAGCTGTATTTCACCTCCGTTCGCTTCCGCTTCACCCCTCTGATACTCATCGTTTTATCGTCTAATAGTCTTTTACTTAATGAAATCGAGGTCAGGGCCATCCCGCTGCACTCGCATAAAAGGCCCGGCCGCCGTTATATACGTCGATGCGACACAAATGCGGAGGGACAGTGCATGCGTGACGACGGGGTGCGGTCCGTGCATGTGTGTACGTGTGTTACGTTTGCACGCGCAAACTCCGGCTCTGTTACGTCCGGTTAAATGCATGGGTGTAATGCATGACACGTCGCGGGATCTTCGTGATGAGGTTTCTCACCTACTTGAAAACACACATAATTCGTGGCGGTTTCTGCTACAAATTGCATGAGGGTACGCATTAATGTGGGCGCACACACGCCAGCATATATATATATTCGCGCTATTCGCGTGCAGTTCTTCGTCGTGTTGCGCGGCACGCGGTGATTTACTTATCATCTTGGGTTGATGTGCATCTTAGATATCTTCTATAAAAAGATTTTCTTGATATTATATAAGAGCTTTCATATAAATAAAAGACTTTACGGCCGCCGATAAAACTGTTGATCCGCAAAAAGGCCTTTTTCTATAAATACTTTTCATAAATACAAAATTCTTTCAATTTTGCAACGCTGCTTATTGCCAGCGAAAAATATTGCGCGCACTGTGAGATATTTATTTAAGCGTTCCGCTCGAAAGCGCCGCGTGGCCGACGATAAATGTCGCGTTACGCTATTGCGCGACAATGAAATAATTACATTAAATTAAACTAAATGCAAATTAAATATAACGCGACTAATTAATTAGCGCAATAGGTCGTAATGATACCACGTAGGTGAATCCCGCGTTAACTGATATAGTGCACCGGCGCTATCCATCATTATCCAAGCACCCACGCAAAGCGATACGGCACTATCGAGCAAGAAGTGTAAATGTACACTTACGTACGAGGTACTATTGTCACGTACTCGGATGTTTATTTACATGAAGCG